CTCAAAAAGTGACTGCTAGTGAAATTCTCCTTACATGAGCTAGATCTATGTATCGAAAACAAAAACCTTCTCGACAACCACTTACGCCGCTCCACAAGCTCGTAGACCAACCCCGTAGCGGCGTAGGGTAACAAAAAAAAAGTTCAGCCCGTCGAAAAAATTCTTACACAAACATAGCAAATTTTGCATCAAAAGAAAGTGGAAGGGAGGTATTTTTCTAAAGTAATAATTTTTCTATCGATTTTATACTATTTCAAGCAAAGAAAATAAAAATAACAATACTTAGCATTCGTTTGAGTAATAATTTCATTATACATTAAAGTATTTATCCTAATAAAATTGTAGAAATTATCTTTGTAGTTCGAATTACCTTGCGAATAATAAGTTTGCGAAGATTTTATCATCTGGCAATTTTAAAATGAAATAAATGGTTAAACTTAATCACTTCACATTAGAGCTAATCGCAAACAAATCGGTCATTCAAATTCTAAAATGTTTTCTGAAAGCTCCCCCCCCCCCCTCCAAACAAAATCCACCGGGAACCCCGCTAAAGCTTAATCCACCGGGAGCCCCGCTGAATCTTAATCCACCGGGAGCCCCGCTGAAGCTTAATCCACCGGGAGCCCCGCTGAATCTTAATCCACCGGGAGCCCCGCTGAATCTTAATCCACCGGGAGCCCCGCTGAATCTTAATCCACCGGGAGCCCCGCTGAATCTTAATCCACCGGGAGCCCCGCTGAATCTTAATCCACCGGGAGCCCCGCTGAATCTTAATCCACCGGGAGCCCCGCTGAATCTTAATCCACCGGGAGCCCCGCTGAATCTTAATCCACCGGGAGCCCCGCTGAATCTTAATCCACCGGGAGCCCCGCTGAATCTTAATCCACCGGGAGCCCCGCTGAAGCTTAATCCACCCCTTGAAACAAAGACGACGCACCTCATCGAGCAGGACGATGGCTGGAGCCTTGAGCAGAGTCCTGGCGATGGCCACGCGTTGTTTCTCTCCCCCCACTCAGACGCAGCCCTCGCTCACCAACAACAGTCTCGTACTCTGTGGGGTAGAGAATAGAGAGAGCTGTAGAAATAGTGAGAGCTGTAGATATAGTGAGAGCTGTAGATATACAGTGGGAGCTGTAGATATACACTGGGAGCTGTAGATATACAGTGGGAGCTGTAGATATACAGTGGGAGCTGTAGATATACAGTGGGAGCTGTAGATATACACTGGGAGCTGTAATTATACACTGGGAGCTGTAGATATACACTGGGAGCTGTAGATATAGTGGGAGCTGTAGATATACAATGTAAGCTGTAGATATACAGTGGGAGCTGTAGATATATAGTGAGAGCTGTCGATATACAGTGGGAGCTGTAGATATACAATGGGAGCTGTAGATATACAGTGGGAGCTGTAGATATACAGTGAGAGCTGTAGATATACAGTGGGAGCTGTAGATATACAGTGAGAGCTGTAGATATACAGTGGGAGCATTAGATATAGTGGGAGCTGTAGATATACAGTGGGAGCTGTAGATATACAGTGAGAGCTGTAGATATACAGTGGGAGCTGTAGATATACAGTGGGAGCTGTAGATAAAGTGGGAGCTGTAGATATACAGTGGGAGCTGTAGATATACAGTGGGAGCTGTAGATATAGTGGGAGCTGTAGATATAGTGGGAGCTGTAGATATACAGTGGGAGCTGTAGATATACAGTGGGAGCTGTAGATATACAGTGGGAGCTGTAGATATACAGTGAGAGCTGTAGATATACAGTGGGAGCATTAGATATAGTTGGAGCTGTAGATATACAGTGGGAGCTGTAGATATACAGTGGGAGCTGTAGATATACAGTGGGAGCTGTAGATATAGTGGGAGCTGTAGATATACAGTGGGAGCTGTAGATATACAGTGGGAGCTGTAGATATAGTGGGAGCTGTAGATATAGTGGGAGCTGTAGATATACAGTGGGAGCTGTAGATATACAGTGGGAGCTGTAGATATACAGTGGGAGCTGTAGATAGAGTGGGAACTGTAGACAGACATTAGAAGCTGTGGACAGACATTAGAAACGGATGTTTTGATGTCTGACTTACGTTTTGGGAATGTCAGGATGCGATTGTGAATTTCAGCAGCTCTAGCGGCCTCCTCAACCTCCTCATCTGATGCCGACAGCTTGCCGTACCTGATGTTATATCTGGAGAACAACAATACAAACACTAACATCATCTGAAAGTGTCTGAGCATTATCTGCGGGTATATATGATAGTATTTGTTTCCAGAAAGATGCGCGAACAGAAAAATGCGCAACTGAACAATGCGCGAACAGAAAAATTCTGAAACAGAAACAAACTCAAAGAATAATGCACCCACAGAAAAAAACGCAAATAAAAAAGTTACACATATCACTCACCAATGAGGTTTATGGCAGTGTGTGTGTGTGTGTGTCTGTTTATGCGTGCATTTTGGAGTTTGCACCTGCATATGTGTAATACATAGACATACATATTTCATTCCAAAATCTATATATTTTTATAGAATAATAAATGCGGCCTCATTTTCTAAAACAAATAGAACCACTAAGTGTTCAGATTTTTCGACCATAGGTGTTTGACAACATCCAGGGATTGTCCACAGGCAGTTTGCTCACCGCGGGTGTTGATGATTTGATTAATGAAGCCTACACCTGCACCTACACATATACCTACATTTAAAGCTACACCTGCACCTACACATATACCTACATTTAAAGCTACACCTGCACCTACACATATACCTACATTTAAAGCTACACCTACACCTACACCTACACCGACAATTATCAACAGACCGAATCACCCACAGACACGCCTGCCTACCTGGATGTCTGTCTGTTTGTCAGGTGGGTCGGTCAGGTGGGTCGGTCAGGTGGGTGTAGTGCAAACCACGTTTGGTCAAACCATTTCTGATTACACAGCCCTAGCTGACAGACTGCCTGTGGACAACCCTTCGGTCAACAGCATCTATGTATGTATGATCGGAAAATATTTGCAATTTATGTTCCTATGCATTTTTAGAAAGAGTGGTGTCATTTTTAAAAGAATTAAATTATACAGAAATGAGAATAAAATATGTATGTATACACATATACAAACTTAAAAATGCAAGCAAGAACACACACACTCATAATTGCCAAGAGACCTGAGTGTCATTTTTCTGTGTTAGCAAATTTCTTTTTCAGCTATTTTTTGTGTGCGAATTTTTCTTTTTGCGCATTTTTCTGTTGCGCATATTTGTGGTCAACGGTAGTTCGGTAGTTCTTATTTGGGCGCACAATAAAAAACAGAGAGGAAATAAGCAGTGTTTATTTTTCTCGACATGATCTACAAGCATATAAACACCTTGCGTATTTCCCCTACAGTGTGACGAAATTTCTCGAGGAAAGACAAAATGTAAATCTGTACTTCAAACGATACTTCTTTCCTTTTAAAAAGCTTATATTTGTTATGAAAGTAAGCATTAATATTATTATACTTAGACTATTCCAAGCCCTAACTTTTGCGATGCGAGTTTGGGACGGGGTCGACCTTGTATATCTATATATATATATATACTTTATTTCTTGGGGAGACTTATTAATTTAAATCAGGATGAGAGTTAGCTTGGAATGGTGGAAGTGTTTGAAGTGACCCTGACCCTAACCCTGACCTGATGTCGTTGTTGAAGAGCACCGTATCTTGAGGCACGACACCGATGTGGCTGCGTAGCGAAACTTGGGTTACCTGCCCAGACAAGAAATACAATTGCAACTAACCTAAGCAAGGTCTAATTTTGGCTAACCCTAAATAACCCTAAAATTAGCTAGCCCTAACTAGCCCTAAAATGCACTACCCAAACTAGCCCTAAACTGAGCTAGCCCTAAAATGAGCTAACCCTTACCTTGGCGATGTCCTGCCCATCGATTAGAATACAACCATCTTGTACGTCATAAAACCGGAACAGCAGCCTGACAACGGTACTCTTGCCACTTCCTGTGTGGCCTACCTGCACAAAAAACATTCAAACTGTATCCAAAACATGTCACTGACTTGTCCAAACATTCAAACTGTATCCAAAACATGTCACTGACTTGTCCAAACATTCAAACTGTATCCAAAACATGTCACTGACTTGCCCAAACAAATCGAAGCCTTTACACTTGGCTCACACTGCCTGTATGCAGCCAATCAACCTACCAGTGCGTATGTATGTCCTGATGGAACTTTAAACGAGACATTCTTCAGTATCATTTTCCTGGCGAGAGAAAGTGATAAATAAAAATAAAATAAAAACCCTACCAGCTGCTCGAGATGACGCGAAAGCTTTGCTCTTAAGGAACCCCAACATGAACCCTAACCCTAGGGACCCCAACATGAACCCTAACCCTAGGGACCCCAACATGAACCCTAACCCTAGGAACCCCAACATAAACCCTAACCCTAGGGACCCCAACATGAACCCTAACCCTAGGGACCCTAACATGAACCCTAACCCTAGGGACCCCAACATGAACCCTAACCCTAGGGACCCCAACATGAACCCTAACCCTAGGGACCCCAACATGAACCCTAACCATAGGGACCACAAACATGAACCCTAACCCTAGGGACCCCAACATGAACCCTAACCCTAGGGACCACAAACATGAACCCTAACCCTAGGGACCCCAACATGAACTCTAACCCTAGGCACCCCAACATGAACCCTAACCCTAGGCACCCCAACATGAACCCTAACCCTAGGGACCCCAACAAGAACCCTAACCCTAGGGACCCCAACATGAACTCTAACCCTAGGCACCCCAACATGAACCCTAACCCTAGGCACCCCAACATGAACCCTAACCCTAGGGACCCCAACATGAACCCTAACCCTAACCCGAATTGTTCTCACTCACCCGTACTCGTAGGTAAAGCTAACATTTTTAAACTCAATCTCCCCGCCCTTGACCTTTAGATCTGGTGCTCCAGGTTCATCTTTTACCTGCACAGATAGACATATGGTGGGGTGGTGGGGTGAGGTGTTGATGTGGTGGGGTGATGTGGTGGGGTGATGTGGTGGAGTGATGTGGTGGGTGATGTGGTGGGGTGATGTGGTGGGAGATGTGGTGGGTGATGTGGTGGGGTGATGTGGTGGGGTGATGTGGTGGGGTGGGGTGGTGGGGTGAGGTGTTGATGTGGTGGGTGATGTGGTGGGGTGATGTGGTGGGTGATGTAGTGGAGTGATGTGGTGGGTGATATGGTGGAGTGATGTGGTGGGTGATGTGGTGGAGTGATGTGGTGGGTGATGTGGTGGGTGATGTGGTGGGTGATCTGGTGGGGTGATGTGGTGGGGTGATGTGGTGGGGTGGTGGGGTGAGGTGTTGATGTGGTGGGTGATGTGGTGGGGTGATGTGGTGGGTGATGTAGTGGAGTGATGTGGTGGGTGATGTGGTGGAGTGATGTGGTGGGTGATGTGGTGGAGTGATGTGGTGGGTGATGTGGTGGGTGATGTGGTGGGTGATGTGGTGGGTGATCTGGTGGGAAGATGTGGTGGGGTGATGTGGTGGGGTGGTGGGGTGAGGTGTTGATGTGGTGGGGTGATGTGGTGGGGTGATGTGGTGGGTGATGTGGTGGAGTGATGTGGTGGGTGATGTGGTGGGGTGATGTGGTGGGTGATGTGGTGGGGTGATGTGGTGGAGTAATGTGGTGAGTGATGTGGTGGGTGATGTGGTGGGGTGATGTGGTGGAGTGATGTGGTGAGTGATGTGGTGGGGTGATGACGTGGTAGGGTGGGGTGACGTGGTGGGTGATGTGGTGGGGTGATGTGGTGGAGTGATGTGGTAGAGTGATGTAGTGGGTGATGTGGTGGGGTGATGTGGTGGAATGATGTGGTGAGTGATGTGGTAGGGTGATGATGTGGTAGGGTGGGGTGATGTGGTGAAGTGATGTAGTGGGTGATGTGGAGAGTGATGTGGTGGGTGATGTGGTGGGGTGATGTGGTGGGTGATGTGGTGGGGTGATGTAGTGGGTGATGTGGTGGGTGATGTGGTGGGGTGATGTGGTGGGGTGATGTGGTGGAATGATGTAGTGGGTGATGTGGTGAGTGATGTGGTGGGTGATGTGGTGGAGTGATGTGGTGGAGTGATGTGGTGAAGTGATGTAGTGGGTGATGTGGTGGAGTGATGTGGTGGAGTGATGTGGTGGAGTGATGTGTTGGGTGATGTGGTGATGTGGTGGGTGATGTGGTGGAGTGATGTAGTGGGTGATGTGGTCGGGTGATGTGGTGGGGTGATGATGTGGTGGGGTGATGTGGTGGAGTGATGTAGTGGGTGATGTGGTGGGGTGATGTGGTGGGGTGATGTAGTGGGTGATGTGGTGGAGTGATGTAGTGGGTGATGTGGTGGGGTGATGTGGTGGGGTGATGATGTGGTGGGGTGATGTGGTGGAGTGATGTAGTAAGTGATGTGGTGGGGTGATGTGGTTGGGTAATGTGGTGGGGTGGGGTGGTGGGGTGATGTGTTGGGTGATGTGTTGGGTGATGTGGTGGGGTGATGTGGTGGGGTGGGGTGGTGTGGTGGTGTGGTGGAGTGATGTGGTGGAGTGATGTGGTGAGTGATGTGGTGGGTCGATGTGGTGGGGTGGGGTGATGTGGTGGAGTGATGTGGTGAGTGGTGTGGTGGGGTGATGTGGTGGGTGATGCGGTGGGGTGATGTGGTGGGGTGGGGTGATGTGGTGGAGTGGAGTGATGTGGTGGAGTGATGCGGTGAGTGGTGTGGTGGGGTGATGTGGTTGGGTAATGTGGTGGGGTGGGGTGGTGGGGTGATGTATTGGGTGATGTGTTGGGTGATGTGGTGGGGTGATGTGGTGGGGTGATGTGGTGGGGTGATGTGGTGGGGTGATGAAGTGGGGTGATGTGGTGGGTGATGTGGTGGGTGGGGTTTATGTGATGGGGTGGGGTGATGTGGTGGAGGGATGTGGTGGGGTGATGTGGTGGGTGATGTGGTGGGGTGGTGTTTATGTGGTGGTGTGGGGTGGTGGGGTGGGTGATGTGGTGGGGTGATGTGGTGGGTGATGTGGTGAGTAATGTGGTGGGGTGATGTGGTGGGTGATGTGGTGGGGTGATGTGGTGGAGTGATGTAGTGGAGTGATGTGTTGGGTGATGTGGTGTGGTGATGTGGTGGATGATGTGGTGGGGTGATGTGGTGGAGTGATGTGGTGGGGTGGGTGATGTAGTGGAGTGATGTGGTGGAGTGATGTGGTAAGTGATGTGGTGGGGTGGTGGGGTGGTGGGGTGATGTGTTGGGTGATGTGGTGGGGTTTATGTGGTGAGGTGGGGTGATGTTGTGTAGTGATGTGGTGGAGTGATGTGGTGGGTGATGTGGTGGGTGGGGTTTATGTGGTGGGGTGGTGGGGTGATGTGGTGGGTGATGTGGTGAGTGATGTGGTGGGGTGATGTGGTAGGTGATTTGGTGAGTGATGTGGTGGGTTGATTTGGTGGGGTGATGTGGTGGGGTGGGGTGAAGTGGTGAGGTGGGGTGATGTGGTGGAGTGATGTGGTGGAGTGATGTGGTGGGGTGATGTGGTAAGGTGGGGTTTATGTGGTGAGGTGGGGTGATGTGGTGTAGTGATGTGGTGGGGTGATGTGGTGGGTGATGTGGTGAGTGATGTGGTGGGGTGATGTGGTAGGTGATGTGATGAGTGATTTGGTGGGGTGATGTGGTGGGGTGATGTGGTGGAGTGATGTGGTGGGGTGATGTAGTGGGTGATGTGATGGGGTGGGGTTTATGTGGTGGTGTGGGGTGGTGGGGTGGGTGATGTGGTGGGGTGATGTGGTGGGTGATGTGATGAGTGATGTGGTGGGTGATGTGGTGAGTAATGTGGTGGGGTGATGTGGTGGAGTGATGTAGTGGGTGATGTGGTGTAGTGATGTGGTGGAGTGATGTGTTGGGTGATGTGGTGTGGTGTGGTGATAGAGTGTGGTGATGTGGTGGATGATGTGTTGGGTTGATGTGGTGGGTGATGTGGTGGGGTGGGGTGGTGGGGTGGTGGGGTGATGTGTTGGGTGATGTGGTGGGGTGGGTGATGTAGTGGAGTGATGTGTTGGAGTGATGTGGTAAGTGATGTGGTGGGGTGATGTGGTGGGGTGATGTGGTGGGTTATGTGGTGGGGTGGGGTGGTGGGGTGATGTGTTGGGTGATGTGTTGGGTGATGTGGTGGGGTGGGGTGAAGTGGTGAGGTGGGGTGATGTGGTGGGGTGATGTGGTGAGGTGGGGTGATGTGTTGGGTGATGTGGTGGGTTATGTGGTGGGGTGATGTGGTGGGTGATGTGGTGGGTAATGTGGTGGGTGATGTGGTGGGTGATGTGGTGGGTGATGTAGTGGAGTGATGTGGTGGGGTGATGTGGTGGGGTGATATGGTGGGTTGGGATGATGTGGTGGCAGATGTGGTGGGGTGATGTGGTGGGGTGATGTGGTGGGGTGATATGGTGGGTGATGTGGTGGGGTGGGGTTTATGTGGTGGTGTGGGGTGGTGGGGTGGGGTGATGTGGTGGGTGATGTGGTGGGTGATGTGGTGAGTGATGTGGTGGAGTGATGTGGTGGAGTGATGTGGTGGGGTGATGTGGTGGGGTGATGTGGTGGGTGATTTGGTGGGTGATGTGGTGGGGTGATGTGGTGGGTGATGTGGTGGGTGATGTGGTGGGGTGGGGTGATGTGGTGGGTGATGTGTTGGGTGATGTGGTGGGGTGATGATGTGGTGGGTGATGTGTTGGGTGATGTGGGGGGTGATGTGTTGGGTGATGTGTTGGGTGATGTGGTGGGGTGATGTGGTGGGTGATGTGGTGGGGTGATGTGGTGGATGATGTGGTGGGTGATGTAGTGGAGTGATGTGGTGGGTGATGTGGTGGGGTGATGTGGTGGGGTGATGTGGTGGGTGATGTAGTGGGGTGGGGTTTATGTGGTGGGGTGGGGTGATGTGGTGGAGTGATGTGGTGGGGTGATGTGGTGGGTGATGTGGTGGGGTGGGGTTTATGTGGTGGTGTGGGGTGGTGGGGTAGGTGATGTGGTGGGGTGATGTGGTGGGTGATGTGGTGAGTGATGTGGTGGGGTGATGTGGTGGGTGATGTGGTGAGTAATGTGGTGGGGTGATGTGGTGGAGTGATGTAGTGGGTGATGTGGTGGAGTGATGTGGTTGAGTGATGTGTTGGGTGATGTGGTGTGGTGTGGTGATGTGGTGATGTGGTGGATGATGTGTTGGGTAGATGTGGTGGGTGATGTGGTGGGGTGGGGTGGTGGGGTGGTGGGGTGATGTGGTGGGTGATGTGGTGGGTGAGTAATGTGGTGGGGTGATGTGGTGGGTGATGTGGTGAGTGATGTGGTGGGGTGATGTGGTGGAGTGATGTAGTGGAGTGATGTGTTGGGTGATGTGGTTTGGTGATGTGGTGTGGTGTTGTGGTGGATGATGTGGTGGGGTGATGTGGTGGAGTGATGTGGTGGGGTGATGTGGTGGTTGATGTGGTGGGGGGATGTGGTGGGGTGGGGTGATGTGGTGGGCGATGTGCTGGGGTGATGTGGTGGGGTGATGTGGTGGGGTGATGTGGTGGGTGATGTGGTGGGTGATGTGGTGGGGTGATGTGGTGGGGTGATGTGGTGGGGTGATGTGGTGGGGTGATGTGGTGGGTGATGTGGTGGGGTGATGTGGTGGGTGATGTGGTAAGTGATGTGGTGGGGTGGGGTGGTGGGGTGGTGGGGTGATGTGTTGGGTGATGTGGTGGGGTGGGGTTTATGTGGTGAGGTGGGGTGAAGTTGTGTAGTGATGTGGTGGGTGATGTGGTGGGTGGGGTTTATGTGGTGGGGTGGTGGGGTGATGTGGTAGGTGATGTGGTGAGTGATGTAGTGGGGTGATTTGGTGGGGTGATGTTGTGGGGTGGGGTGAAGTGGTGAGGTGGAGTGATGTGGTGGAGTGATGTGGTGGAGTGATGTGGTGGAGTGATGTGGTGGGGTG